TACTTCCTCTACAATTAGTTAAATTTAATAAACAGTAAAGTTATAACTATTTTCCTCAAATCATTTTAAGAAATTGTCCTTCTTAATTGCAAATAGGTAATCAGGAATTATTTATTTCTATTCTAATTTCATAATTTAGTAACTTACGAAAGAATTACTTTGCTATTGTAAATCAAAAATGCTTTGCACACTTCTGTGTAGACGTAGGGAGTAGTTTATAGCGACCAACTTAACCTCATTTCTCAACGAGCTGTATAGCAGCTGTCAGTTTCAATAACGTTAGTGACTATATAACTTTATTTTAAAGAATAATCGTGATAACAATAACAAACAATTAAAGGAGCTGCGGAAAGTGTCCCCCTCCTTGTTATAACAATAAATTAAAGCAGCTGCTGAAAGTGTCCCCCTCCTTGTTCCAAGCACTTTTCACACCTGTTCCTCAAAGAATTAAAGACATTTTCTAAGATGCTCGGGGTATTGTTAATTTCACGAATCTTGTCTATAAGTCGAGCCTGCAGATGGTTTAAATCAGGAATAGGCAGTTCAAAAATAGTGTTTTTAAGGTAAGGCCACAAAAAGAAATCACACGGCGTAATATCACATGACCTCGGTGGAAATTCATGTTCAGCATTGAGACTTATTAGTCGATTTTGGAAAACTTCCCTCAACATATTCATCGTCTCGCCTGCCGTATGTGCCCTTGCGCCATCTTGTTGAAAGTAAAAGTTTGTAATTTCGTTTTCTTCCAGCTGGTTAACAAAAGGAGCGATAATTTCTTCTCTATACCTTTGCGCAGTAAGAGTACCATTAAAAAAAATAGGTCCATAAATCCTCCTTCGATTGAGAGCACACCAAACTCCAATTTTTTGAGCGTGTAGAGGGCCCTCGACAAAAAAGTTATCTGGTTTTTCAGAAGACCACATTCTCATATTCTGTGAGTTTACGTAACCACTTAAATGAAACCAGGCTTCATCAGAAAAAAAGGTGATATTATGAAGTTCACCGTAGTTGTTTAAAAACCATTCACAAAATACAGCCCGTCGCGGAAAATCAACTTCATGAAGTTCTTGCTGACAAGTTAAACGATAGGAGAACAAACGCAAATCTTTTTTTAACACTGTGTGGCAGGTACCGACTGATACTCCCACCATTTGTGATAAAACACGTACAGAAGTTCTTGGCGCATTTTCCATTATTTGTTGGACATTTTCTTTTAATTCTTCAGTCCGCTTTTTAGGTCGGCCGCTTCCTTCTTTTCTTGTTACACTGCCCGTTTCACGAAAAACATTAACACAACGCTGAACTGCACTTTGAAAAATTTTGTACTCAACAACGCCGGGAAATTGATTTTGAAATTCTATGAAACATTCCTCAATAGAATACTTCCATATTCCATCAATCTTGCGTCCATTTCTAAAGTAGGACTCTATGATAAACACTTTTTGTTCTTGAGAAAACACCATTTTAAACGCTTTTTAAAACGAAAATATTCAAATTGATAGCGGCGATATAGCGCTTTGACAGATGACGTTTAAGTTCATTTGCTATACGCTACGCCTTACGTCCAAAATTTCAGAACCAACTTGACCACGTTTTTATTTGAACGCTCGTTATAAGGGCCACACAGCTCGATTTGCTATGGCTTGGGTTTTTAATTGAGCAGTGGAAGTTAGCCTCTGTTGTCCTTCATAAGCTTTTTAATCAGGATCGGATTCTACTTAAGTTTGCCAATAAATATTATTGTGTACATAACTACTTTTAATATACAGGGTATAAATAAATAATCTCAAAAAAATTAAGGAGGCAAATTCTCATTGAAAATTCTTTCATGTAAAAAATCTCTCCACACTGCTTACAGATTTATGGCCCTTCAAATGGGAACGCTACTTTCAAAAGTATAGTTTATTGACAAAGATCAACATCGTCATTCTATGAGCACATTTAGCTTCCCTCATAATCATGAACCATCACTGAAGCCGATGTAGCGGTTCGCAAAAATAAAAGTGGTCATATTTGGATAATGATGTGTGGAATCCATTATTTTTTTAGGGAACGATTTCTAGGCAATCATAGAATACTTTTGTGATGAAAAAATTTGCAAAATAAAAAATTCAAATAACAGTGTAGCCAACTCTGAGATCTTGAAAGAGTTTGCTCATATATTTACATAATATTCTTACTTTTCTCATAACTCTAATAATCTAATAGTAAGAGAGATAAGGGCAAAAGAGTGTACCATAAATACAAAATTATTAATAATTTTAAGAAAAAAGTTCATATGAACATTTGTACTAAACAGCATAATTTTCAAGATGCAATGGGGGGGTGTTATAGCTTTTGAAAAATACCACATTTATTCAAATATCTCGTAAGCTGTTTGATATAAATTTATGAAACTTGCTGTGTGACTTAAGTAAGTAGAGGTAAAAATTCACTGAATTATATCGACTAGTGATGATGACACTGCGATTAAAAACCATTGGTTTTATAAGCTAAACTATCTTATAACTCAAAGTAAGGTAGATTTTGACCTTTGCAGCAGCTGTCTGAATCCAGAGAGCATTGTGATCGATTCCCTTGAATCTGACAAATCTAACACTTATCCTTATTAGTTATATTTATTACCCTATTATAATAACTTAAGTAACAAATTACCCGATTTTGTTGCATAAGTTCTTGAATCTAACAGGGTTGATCCTGCTGTTTCCTGATCTAGATGGCCTAACTTCTCCTAAAACTGTTTACAGTCCATACAGTATGAAATAGAATTTCAAGTAAAGAATAAACAGATAAAGATATGAGATAAATCGGTAAATATAGTTCATACGATATTTATTGAGATAGAATTCCAAGAAAAGAAAAAGCCAATAAGGTTCTGTTATCGGAACTACTGTAACAATTTACAGCAGCGTGCGTTGAAATCTTCTACTTTATTTTCAGAGAAAAAAAAAGTCGGGAGAATTTTTTGTTGTATACAGGGTGTCTCATAATTAGCTGCCAACCCTGAACAGGCCGATTCTATGATCAAAACTAAGTAAAAAAGTTCATATGAACATGGGTCCGGAAATGCTTCCTAAGGGCACAGGGACCCATTGAAGAGGGAGGAATGGAAATCATTTTTTTGCAATATCTCTCAATCGCGTTGTGATAAATGAATGAAATTTGGTATACACAGCTAAATTTTGATGAGCAATTTGATGGACTAATCCATTTATTTCCACAAGGTCCATTGGGGTGGGTACGGGGGGGCCCTTGGTACTTTGCGTGTGTAACTTTTTCATCTTTGACTTTTTAACAAATTGGACAGCAAATTCCGTTTTCCCGAACTGTTTTACGTTAAAAAGGTACTCTTGTTTCAAATCGTTATCTTTAACGGTTTCTGAGAAAATCGCTCTTGAATTAATCCCACTTTGGTCAATTTCATAGTAATTTAAACAAAAAAAAATAATAATAATTTTCCTTTCCTCTCTTTTCCATTTAAAGGATTAATTTTTATTTAATTTAATTTTTTATTATTATTTTTTTATTAAAATTAGATTAAATTTAAACAAAAAAATTTTTTTTGTTTAAATTACTATGAAATTGACCAAAGTGGGATTAATTCAAGAGCGATTTTCTCAGAAACCGTTAAAGATAACGATTTGAAACAAGAGTACCTTTTTAACGTAAAACAGTTCGGGAAAACGGAATTTGCTGTCCAATTTGTTAAAAAGTCAAAGATGAAAAAGTTACACACGCAAAGTACCAAGGGCCCCCCCGTACCCACCCCAATGGACCTTGTGGAAATAAATGGATTAGTCCATCAAATTGCTCATCAAAATTTAGCTGTGTATACCAAATTTCATTCATTTATCACAACGCGATTGAGAGATATTGCAAAAAAATGATTTCCATTCCTCCCTCTTCAATGGGTCCCTGTGCCCTTAGGAAGCATTTCCGGACCCATGTTCATATGAACTTTTTTACTTAGTTTTGATCATAGAATCGGCCTGTTCAGGGTTGGCAGCTAATTATGAGACACCCTGTATATGTATAAGATTAAATTATCACTATTAAGGTAAACATTTTTAGTTTTTTTAGGGATATCAATTCAAGTGAATTTATCAGACTTAATTATTACACTGTATTTAAAATTTCATTTTCAACAGTTTAATTTCAATTTATTAAGAGTATAGATCGAATGTGACCTATAAGTGTCATATATCTTAAATGTCATTGCTCCTCAATACCTACTGGCACAACGCATTGCTTTGTACCTACTGGCAGAGTATACTGTGAAAACTAATGATATCGTGGGAAACAGCTACTCTGCGGACTAGACACTCCATCTAATAAACAGCTAAGACTATTCGTTAGCAGAATCAAACATAGACTAGATGTTGCATGTGTAATTCAATGCTGGACGGTGCATTTAGCCCACAGAGTAGTTATTTTGCACAGTCTCGGTGGTTAAACAAAAATAATTGTAACTGTATGGTAGGCTTATTTACATAAAAAAATTAAGATAGTCACTCAAGAATTAATAATAATAAAAATGATGTGTGTAAAATGATAGAATTTTTTTTTTCTAACAGTGAAAACAGTGAGTTTTTCCTAACAGTGAAATTTCAACCTTCAATGAACATTACATCGTAATACGTGTAACTATTGAAAACTAAATTACTTTAGAAACAGATATATTTGTATGCAAATTCATAAATTTATACTTTTAAAACCACTTCTTCTGTGATTTTGGGCAACTTCGGTTGCACTGTGGCAAAGTCAAGTTATAGGAAAGGTGCATCTCTACGCCTTGTGCAGGTAGGGCCTAGAGAATTAACTCTGTTCAAGTGTCAGAAAGAATTAAAAAAGAATTCACTAATTCTCATTCCCAAATTCATTATTAGTGTACACCTCAGTTTACCCCCTCCTAGTTTATATTAGTTTTGTACCTTAAAATGTTGAACTTTAATTGGAAGTATGAGAGTATGTTCTCATATTCTTGTCTTCCTTCATTTCAGAAATTTAAGTTAGAGGATAGATCTAGGGAAGAGAGGATTGAAATAACTAGGCATGAATTCAGGAGACACATCCAGCAGTTAGTGAGAAGTAATGTAGGACAACCAAATAGATTTCCCGATCTATCTGTTCAGTACTCGAAATGTTCTTCTCCCGCATATAGAAATAAACATAAAACTGGTTATAACAGGCTTGTGGCACCAAGAATATGTGACGTTGAAAAATGTTTACGACCAGCTTTACCCTGTACAAAACATTGCACTTTACACATTATGTTAAATACTGAGCAGGTGTTATTTGAATATTGTACTGCCAAATTCGCAGATAATACGCAATGTGCTGCTCCCGTTTTCGATATTATGCATGAGTTGCCGCTTTGTGCAGAACACGCAAGAAAAAGGGTAAGTTTGACTTGTGAATAATTAATAATGTCTGATTGAAAATGTAATTTTAGGACAATTATAAACTGTATCAAGAGGCCAAACCAAAGAAGTTGAGGAAAAAAGTTAAACCATCTGCTATGATTAGACCACAAAAAAGGAATAAAAAGAAGAAGAAACTGATTAAAACTAACGAAATATCCGGGCCGAGTGCAATATTGGAAATACCCACGAGGACATCTCCAGAATCAGGTGTTTATATTATTGGTACAAATTAAAAGTGGCATAGTAGAGTAGTTTCAAAATCTCATGAGCCGCGAAATACGCGAAAGGCATAGCGTATCCGCATAATTCTTCTAATAAGCACATTGTGAAGACATTGATTCAGAACTAGACCATGTGCCTCATTACAACCAGAAATGAACTAAGCGCTCGGGCATCAATAAAGTCAACTGGCGAATGTTTGTTATATACATATATTTTTATTGCTAAAATTAAAATAATAAAGAATAGGGCATTTTATTATGATATGTAATTTGTATTCACATAATAAATGTATACAAAAAAATTATAAAGGTTGACAACCCAAGTCATCATCATCATCATCATCATCATCATCATCTGAGGTATTGACAAAATCGTTTTCATCACTACCATTATCATCTACATGTATTATAAGTTCATTGACTTCGTCAATGAAATGTTCACAGCTAATATATTCTTCTTAAACTTTTTCCACATCTTCACAGACATTATTCCACATAGTCCAGTCGGCAGAGGCCGAAAAGTTACTGTTGCTGGCATTTTCTTGATAACTCGGAAATAACTACACAGGAATACTTTAAATTATGAGTACAATAACAGGCTAATTTGCTGACAAAGTATTTTATCAGGAAAAAAGTTATTAACAATTTAATCGTGAAAAAAATTTTTTTAGTATTTTTCTTTAAATAACTCAGCGGGATGACTTTGTACGAAAAAATGCTTAGGACATGATTTTGTTCGTAATAAAAATAGCTACAAAATGGCGGTGGTCCGATTACGAAATTTGCAATAACAAAGCCGTGAGATTGAAAAAACGGTATAAAACGTCAATTTTTTAAAGTTGCTGTAAAAATGTCAATTATAAACAAAAAGTGATAAAACTTTCGAAAACTATAGTTCAATATATATACAATAATGACGCTAAAGCCGAAAATCAGGAGAGCAAAACTTTTTGTTCTATAAGGTGTTATACATTCATCGGCATCTGAAACTCGAAACTTTGCCAAATTTGTTCGAAGCTTTGCTGACACTTGAAATTTGGTACACACATAGTGTAAATATGCAGAAACCAAAAGCAATTTGCAAAATTCAAGTATCTTCATTTTTGCAGTTTTGGTAAGGTTTTATACGTCACCCTAGTTTTATACGTCACCGTTTTTTTAATTTTTGGACGTATATTTATGTATATTTATAAAATATTCCATTACGGTAGATTAGCCAGCATAATTACCTACAATTTAAAAAAATATATATTTTCATCGTTTAGATCCTAAGCTACTTAACATTTTGCGCCTGTTAGCCGTAGTCGTACATTATTCAACATATTAACATAAAACAAAATCGTACGTGTGGGGTAAACCTTTAACTTTTCATTTTCGAGCGCGAGCTCCGCTCTTCGGCGCTTGTATACTATTAGAAATATGCAACAGTAAATTTAAACAATTGTTTACTTAAAGTTAAAGGTTTACCCCACACGTACGATTTTGTTTTATGTTAATATGTTGAATAATGTACGACTACGGCTAACAGGCGCAAAATGTTAAGTAGCTTAGGATCTAAACGATGAAAATATATATTTTTTTAAATTGTAGGTAATTATGCTGGCTAATCTACCGTAATGGAATATTTTATAAATATACATAAATATACGTCCAAAAATTAAAAAAACGGTGACGTATAAAACTAGGGTGACGTATAAAACCTTACCAAAACTGCAAAAATGAAGATACTTGAATTTTGCAAATTGCTTTTGGTTTCTGCATATTTACACTATGTGTGTACCAAATTTCAAGTGTCAGCAAAGCTTCGAACAAATTTGGCAAAGTTTCGAGTTTCAGATGCCGATGAATGTATAACACCTTATAGAACAAAAAGTTTTGCTCTCCTGATTTTCGGCTTTAGCGTCATTATTGTATATATATTGAACTATAGTTTTCGAAAGTTTTATCACTTTTTGTTTATAATTGACATTTTTACAGCAACTTAAAAAAATTGGCGTTTTATACCGTTTTTTCAATCTCACGGCTTTGTTATTGCAAATTTCGTAATCGGACCACCGCCATTTTGTAGCTATTTTTATTACGAACAAAATCATGTCCTAAGCATTTTTTCGTACAAAGTCATCCCGCTGAGTTATTTAAAGAAAACTACTAAAAAAAATTTTTTTCACGATTAAATTGTTAATAACTTTTTTTCCTGATAAAATACTTTGTCAGCAAATTAGCCTGTTATTGTACTCATCATTTAAAGTAGGCCTGTGTAGTTATTTCCGGGTTATCAAGGTTTGACACAAGCCGAACCTCTACCAACACTCATTTGTGACATTTGCCAATTTTTCTTCTGCTAATTTCCAAACATCGTCCATTGTAAATGTCGTATTGCACATTGCTACTTCATTCTTAACAATTGCCCATATTTTTTCTATTGGGTTCAATTCAGGATGACACGGTGGAAATCTCAGTACAATATGGCCATGTGTGGCTAATAATCTATCCATTATAGTAATACTATTTTGTGGTTTATTAAGTTTTATTTTTGCATATAGTTCAGGCTTAGTTTCTTTATCTCCAAAAACAATACCACGTTTTCTGAGCCAGTTTTGCATATCTGCTTTCAGTCAGTTAGAAGTTGGATTAGGCTCTACCAGCACATTATGATAGGATGCATTATCGACTACTAAAACTGAATTTGGATCCAAATTAGGAATAAATTTTTTCTCCAGCCATTTAAAATAGTTTTTTTTTATTTATATCATCGTGGTAGTCTCCTATTTTTAAACCAGATTTAAAAATCAGTCTGGCATTGGGAACAAATCCTTTTTTACTTCCAGCATGGACAACAATTAGATATTTTCCTTTGTACATTGTATATCTTCCATTGTACTATCGTCCCAAGCTGTTGGCACAGTATGACTACTGTGGATATATGTTTCGTCACTATACACAATATTTTTCCCTAAAAAAAAATAATTCTTAAATAAATAAAAATAGTAATATTTAATAAATAATAATCATTTTTATTTTTCAGCTAATGATGAAAATCATTTCATAAACTTGGTTTTTAAAAAAACTTTATTTCTGAAAGATTTATAATACAAGTTGAATACAATGAAAAGTATAGCAGAACTGCTCTATATCATATTAAAACCTATACTTATAGGTTCGTATTAACCTGATTGTCTTTGCACTTTTTCACAACATTATTAGCTACATTTTGAACATGAAATTATGCAAAACCAATATACCTTCTTTATATTGTTTTAATTTCCTTAAATATTCTGTGCGTTTTAATCGATGTCCGTTGTTTCGCATAGTGCTTTTCTGTTATCTTGACTTTTCTTCCAGCGAAGTCCCAGTTTATGAATTATTTTTCTAAAACTTGAAATTTTTCCATTTAAATTCAAATCATTTTTACAGCATCAAACAAGGGTTTCATAGTTACACGTCACTTATAAATAGCTACGAATCTATAAACTTCGGTTCTAATTATTTCTTAATCAAACTTATCCAAGGTTGATCTAGTACTTGGTTTCTTTATTTTCTTCCTAGGCGACGACGGACTACCAGACGGACTAGCTTCATGTTCACACATTATTCTTTTGACCGTATTTAATGAAACACCTGTACCCTCGGCTACCTGAACCTGTTCTAACTTAAAAGGATTTTTATTTTCTTTTTCTTTTTTCATAAATTCATAAACGTTCTAAACTATCTTACGTCTTTGATACAACTTTCTTATTGTTTTTAGATCTATTAAAAAATTAAAATCCAATGAAACATAAAATTTTGAAACAACTCTAGCATAGAATTTTTAAATTTTATGATTTGATGACGGTATTTTCTCATTATTTGATTTGAATTATGTAGATAACATTGTAAACTAAATTTTAATAATTTTTTTTACTATGAAAGTTACTTAGTGGGGGCGGGGGTTGCGGGGTCGACACCACTAATTTTTACTTTTATTTATTTAGGTAAGCCGGCAATCCAAAATTCATTAATCTACATCGAATATATGTATATTATTGAGATACATATTTGTATACTTTGTATACTTGTACGTTTTTCAAAAATTAAGCAATCTAGGACCAAAATTTACTTGGCCCTATTGTTGTATTTTAACCTTAAGATTATTTAGTAGCATTTATTAAATAGATCTTGTAGAATTTTACTTACGGAAACCCTACAGCTTATAGAAACATCAAATTTTTCACATGATCGTATAATAATGTAATAATTTTCCTTTTAGAAGTCGGTGAAATAATAGAAGAGTCACCGGAATTAGAAGTTGAAGACATGCATATGGTGGATCAAGTTCTAGGATTAAATGAGAATGGTTTGGAACAAGCATTGGTAACACAAGCACACTTATTAGAAGAAACTGATATTAACACTGTGCTTAGTACAATACAGGTCGACGAATTCAGTGACTTTTTTACAGGTAAGCAGCAACATTCAATTAATGAGATTTATTTTCTAGAAATATTGTTAAAATGTATGGAAAAGATGTCTACAAACTTGGAAATTATTTTTTAAAGATTTAACTTTATTTTGTTATATGAACTTTTTCAGGTATATGTTTTAGGATTTCTCTTATATTACACAGTAGGTACAAAAAAACCACTGTAATACTTAACGAAATTCATGTATTTAGATGTGCATCGACACAAAATATGATTTGCTATAGTAATATACTGTTAAAATCCTTTCATTAATACGCAAGATAATGATCACTCCAAAAATTAAATTTGCTAACTATGCTTTTTCTGAACAAACATATAAGTGTCACTTAAGGTTTAGGTTTTATGGCAGCAATGAACACTGCTGATCGGCAACAATCAGTACCAGAATACATTCAACATCAGTGGTTTTACAGAATGCTTTTGTTAAATTCAATATATTAGATTCTGACGATCATTGCTGATATTCACTGCTACCTAAAAAACCAAACCTTTAAGTGAAGTGTTGTTCAAATGTGGTTAGATAAAACTTCGAGTATAAGTAGTATTAAAATTAATGAATTATTTTATCATTATTTAACATGTATTTTAAGGATATTGTGACATTTGATCATTCATCGTAAATCAAATATTCTTCATACAAAAAAATTGACCAAGATGCCTAAAGTAATTTTTTAAATTTTGTTTTTAAATGGATATTGATGACTTATTAACAAACTTTAAAGTTATACTATGTAAATACCAAAATATGAAGAGAAATGAGATGCGAGGGGAGACCCAAAATTAACCGGACACCATTCTTTTTGGGTTACAAATGCTAGTCACCTTTGAAGTTTTGAAGTACTTTCCATTAATACTATTACATTGGTTCAAATATTTATTCCACTGCAAGAAACACCTTTGGTACTCATTCTTTCCGATGGGTTGCAGCGCTGCCTTCGATTTTCTTTTCACCTCTGGAATGTCCGTAAAACATTTTCCTTTCAGCTTCCTTTTCACCCGGTGGAACAAAAAAATCACAGGATGCCAGATCAGGTAAGTAAGGTGGGTACGGAAGGGGTGTCATGCAGTTTTTCACCAAAAAATTACTCATTGAAGTGGCTATGTGACTCCACCTAAAAATTCTGTACAACTGCCTACAGAATTAGTAGTCCAATAAGTTGGAAGTTTTGCCTGTGAAGTTTTAGGGGAGTTTTGAAAATTGGTATATTTATAGATCTTGACATGCTCTTTCCGAATTTTTGCTTTGCCACCTCTTTTTTTTTCGGAAGTAGCTGCCGTATTGGAAAAATGGCGCCCCATAACAGTTTTTTGACGATATTTCCTTTCCGACTTACTTTATGGTGAAAATAGTTATGTAATAAATTAAACTAGAGAACATTTCCTATAATTTATGTAATAACCTTTTTTCTGTGAAATGAATAGTTTCGGCGTACGAGCACCGCAAAGTCTACTCCAACAGGCGTATTGGCCAACAAACTTATTTCCACACCACCATGACGTTTTTTTTAGCGGTATCCCCAGTAGACCTAATCCATATGTGATACACTATTGACTAAATTTAGTGCATTCTCTTTCGCTTCGCCATCCCTGATGGACCAGGTTTTGCGAGTTCTTCGTCTTCAGAACTGAGCAAAACCTCACGGATAGGAAGTTCTTCCAAGTTATACGCGATAGGGTTCTCTTCTTCGACTTCATCACCTTCTTCATCGATTTCGTCGAAGGTTTGCTGAAGAACTGTCTCTGTATCTTCCTCTTCATCACTATCTTGCAAATCAACATCCGAATTGTCGCTGATCTGGAGTCTGGAATTGTGGGGAGGGTAGCAAAGCTACAGCACTTAGGCCCCATTGGGCCCCTTGTACATCTTCCCATTAGAGAGATCAATCCACCTGAGCCGCCAACCAGCCTATTACAGTGAAAAAGGTGGTGACGTTGCTCAGGGGGAACTCTCTAATATAGGCCATTGATGGCCAGCGTTCTCCCAACATGGACTCTCTTGTTGACGAGACTGCAGTGCATTCACATAGTAAATGCAACATCGTCTCGTCTTCCTGTTCACAGCCCCTACAAAGAGGTGTTTCACACTTCCCCATATTGTAAAGGTGTTTCCTTAGCCAACAGTGTCCAGTTTCAATACCTGTCACCAGGCGAAGATTTGACATTTGACCTAGACATGGCCAGGTATTTTTTGGCTGTGTCTTTGCTAGGATACACTAAGAGCTCCTTAGCAAAGTGACCGCTGATTGTTTCATCCCACCGTTTCATAAATTCTTTGTGGATGTTTTCCTTAATAATTCCAACAAGTGCCAACAACGGAAGCACACTGGAGGGGCCGGGTCCAAAAATGTTGAGGCCCGATGCGCTCCTGGTTAGCTTGTCAGCTTCTTTATTGCCATAGCACTGCTCGTGTCCCTTTACCCAGCATACAGATATGCTGTTAGCGGCCGAGACCACAACCAGTGCTTCATGGCATTCCCATACTGTCCTAGTCATTATCTTATGATTACGCAAGGTCAGTAGTGCTTGTCTACTATCCGTGTAATGGTTTTGCCCGTAGTATTGTCGCTGGTACCTACCATTGCAATTCGCGCAGATAACGGAGCACTTTGGTCCAGCCTTTCTGCATCCACAGGCTCCTCGACATCCTTATTTACATTTGCAAGAAATTAGTTTTAGCAAGTTTGCTGGAGCTCGGGGCTCGAGTGTGGTGACATTCTTGCTTTTTTTCTATCCCCCACCGCTCTGCATTTTTTCCAACTCCATACCACTGCTGAACCTGGTGATAGGTTCGGAACGAATGTTGTCATGCTGCGGCTTCTGTCGGTGGCAGTGATGCAATATTAAATGTATTATTAAATGCTGACTTTGTGAAGCATGTATATCTGTAGGTGTTTAACGACATACTTTTTACGCCACTGTAACTGTACAACGCAAGGAAGAAGCGTTCTCCAGCTTCAGCAATGCTTTCCGGGTCGGCATTTGGTTTTTTAAATCTCCGGACGAGCTCGTTTAAATCTCTGTTGTTCTTTAATAAATTCTTTAAATAAATTTAATATTGCATCACTGCCACAGACAGAAGCTGCAGCACAACAACATTCGTTCTGAACTTATCACCAGGTTCAGCAGTGGTATGGAGTTGGAAAAAATGCAGAGCGGTGGGGGGTGGAAAAAAAGCAAGAATGGGCCAATTCCTGTCACCACACTCGAGCCCCCAGCTCCAGCAAACTTGCTAAAACTAAATTCTTGTAAACGTAAAAAAGAATGTCGGGGAGCCTGTGGTTGCAGAAAGGCTGGACTAAAGTGCTCCGTTATCTGCGCCGATACAATGGTAGGTACCTGCGACAATTCGGATGTTGATCTGCAAGATAGTGATGAAGAGGAAGATACGGAGACAGTTCTTCAGCAAACCTTTGACGAAATCAAGGAAGAAGGTGATGAAGTCGAAGAAGAGAACCCTATCGTGGATAACTTGGAAGAACTTCCTATCCCTGAGGTTTTGCTCAGTTCTGAAGACGAAGAACTCACAAAACCTGGTCCATCAGGGATAGCGAAGCGAAGGAGAATGCACTAAATTTAGTCAACAGTGCATCACATGTGGATTAGGTCTACCACTAAAAAAAACGTGCCAGGAACTCTACCTCATGGTGGTGTGAAAATAAGTTTATTTGCCAATACGCCTGTTGGAGCAGACTTTGCGGCGCTCGTACGCCGAAACTATTCATTTCACATAAAAAAGGTTATTACATAAATTATAGGAAATATTATCTAGTTTAATTTATTACATAACTATTTTCACCGTAAAGTGAGTCGGAAAGGAAATATTGTCGAAAAACTATTTTGGGGTGCCATTTTTCCAATATGGCGGCAACTTCCGGAAAAAAAAAGAGGTGGCAAAGTAAAAATTCGGAAAGAGCACGTCAAAATCTGTAAATATACCAATTTTCAAAACTCCCCTAAAACTTCACAGGCGACCCCCTTCTTGAGCGTCAACTGATTGGACTATAGTGCTTTGACTACATCAACCATTTTACCCCACCACCAAAATCCCTAATTCATAATTTATTACAAATAAGTACATCAAAAGTTATGTGTGAATGGCATAGCTTAAAATTCAAGCTAGGTTGATCAAATTACGGACAAAGGTCATAAAATAAAGTTAGGGGGAACAAATTTGTAATAAATGTGTAATAAAATTATGAACTAGGAACTTAGTGTTGGGACAAAATAGCTTATAAGTGATGAAAAGTGATACAAAAAATAATTACTGACCATACTCCACAAAAAAGAACTGCTGGAACCCATCGCCTTTGTTAACACATACATAAGCTCGTCAAACTAAACAATCACACCCATTTACAAAAATGTCTGGCCTTTATGAAATAATGTGTGTGTGATAGTTCTTCAGCTTCATTAACTTCTCTGTCGTACCATAAAACTTTTAAATATCCCCAGAAATAAAAATCTAAATGGTTTAAGTCTGGAGAATGAAAAAGTAATGGAACTGGACCACTGCGTCCTATCCACCTCTACAGAAAATTCTGTGTAAATTTTCTTGCACATCACAAGAATAATGAAGTACTTCGGGAGGCACTTCTTCATGAAGAACTGGCAAATAATGTCCTAAAAAGTGCAAACAATGTTGTGTAGTCAGGCGGTTTTAATGAAAATTAAAAATTCTGTTGCGGCTAAAACTGGCTTAGTCTGAGAATAAAATTGTACAGATCCTTCATAAATGATTACAAGCCACATGACTGCTGAGCTTAGGCAACCCAACATTGCAGTACCGGTACTGTTAACTAAAATCTCTTAATCATCAATATTAATTATTCGTTTACAATGAACAATAACAAACTGTTGCTTCTACGATTAAGATAATGTTATCACTGATTCATTGCATAAAATCTTAGGAAACCTGTTGCAAAAGTCTGTACATAATGGATAGTCTTGTTGCAGAGTATAGACTATTTGCACATAAAAA